CCCCAAAACCCCAAAACCCCAAAACCCCAAAACCCCAAAACCCCAGCACATAGAATTTATGTTGAAATAAGAACTTTTATGAAAATTAGTAAGGACTATGGCTCTTCTGGTTTGGACTCTGTTCCTTGATTTCTTTGGTTGTTCCATAATCCTTTGTCGATGATGATAGATACCGCCTATAGGTTAGGGGACGCATACATTTTCAGCTGTGATCTTTACATTGGTGAAGTTAGAAGCGATATGGTCGATCTGGCCTTCGCTTAGAATATGTGTGGTGTCCAGCTATCTTTGAGCATTAGAGCTTACCTGGGTAATTATCTTCTTAAATGACTCAACTGTGAGTTCTTGGAGCATTATCTTTTCACTCTCATTGGACTCCTTCTAAAGATTATGAATAAAACCTACAGTTTTGATAGAGCAAGGAGAGATATCCTGAAGAGTTAAGATCTCTGAGAGCTCTTTTGCAACTACCATCTTGAGCTTTCTGTAATGTCTGATAAATTTGTTGATGAACCAATATTTATTCTTGCTCTAATTAGCATGAGCAATAATAAGTACCTTATTTTTGAGCATTCGGGCTTGAGTTGATATCTCTTTGAACTCTCCCGATAAAATCTTCTAACTGCTGCTGACTAAGTTTCTCTCTGAAGTGAATCTCCAGAGCTGTCAAGTGGGCACCCTCTTTCTCAAATTTCATGTTAGAGAAAATCTTTTCTAATTTATAGTAAAATGTGAGGTCATCATTGGTGTAATATTTGTCCAGAATTCCGATGAAATGCCCGAATAGCTCAACTTCAGGATGCTTTTTATAGTTCAAAGCAGTTGTGAGCAAGAGCTCTTTTAATTTTTTCTCTGTTAGTTTCACAATTCCATATTTGTTCTACAAAGTTGACTAAGGGGCTTACATATGTGGTATCATAAAGGAAATCAGACAGTGATTGGTACTTGATAGAGGCTGAGTTTTTCGCACACAGGCTTTTCTCATTGTAAAATCCAAAGATGTTCTTGATGAACAGCTTTAATGGAATCGCACGCACATTATTTTATCATCTAGAGATTAGCAGCAGCTTACCTTCTTCTTGTTTCCCAAGTAGGACTTCTTGAAGGTTAAAATGTACTTTGGTAAGTCTGAATTATAAGATTTCATCTGTTTTTGAGGGATCATCTGGAACTTAAATGGTACTGTCTCAGTTACTTGAGGAGGATTCAGAGGTGAGGTCAGATCCTTAGAGGGAAAGAACATACTTTTCCTTCCAGACTTTAGGAAATAATATTTCTGGTTACCTTTACTTCTGATCGTTGAGGAGCCACTTCTTATTTGAGAGCCACATTCAGAGAATTTGTCTGTATCTCTTCTCTTTCGAGCTTCTTTAGATGCTGGTCTGAGATCAATTTTTAATTTATCTTTCTTTATAAGGGTTGAAACCTGAATTTCTTTATCATAAGTAATTGTGTGTTTCTTCATTTCTTTTGTGACTTCGTTCATTTCCTTCTCATCATTGGCGTTGAATAACTTCTTGACCCAGAACATCATGATTTCGCCTGCCTTATTTAAGCTTCTGGCTCCATTTATCTGATGGATCTTTTCAGTCATAGTAGACATCACCGTACTCGTCCTTGGGGAGTTTCCTGATTTTGCTAGAATATTTGAAGAAATAGCTTACTTAGAGAGATTTTTAGCTGCAATCATGAGCTTAATAGGGACTTTATACCGAAGCTCCTCCTCGTTTGATTCACTTCATTTCTGGTCTACCTCTGAGTCCGTGTGCTCTTGGTCTGGTAGTTCCTCAATTATAAGAGAGTTGCCATTGAAAGCATCAAAATCAGACACTTGCTCTATTTGAATTTCAGGATCGATAGGAAGTTTCTTTAAGGAATTTAGGGATTCTGACTTTAAGTACTCGATTTGGAAATTATCACTGAATGATATCTATAATATCAGATATTTTAATATACATTCTTGTTGGTTTTTGGAGGTTCAGGGCTATGGATGAGAATAAAAAGTACCTTTGAATGATCTGTTTTGTCTCAGAAGGAGTGTCCAGAACAGCAGACTCAGAGACTCTCCCCTCAGCTGCATCAATACCTTGAATATATGGTTCATCTTCATTGGAGTCTTGGTAAAAGCTTGAATTCATAGAGCAGCTCTCACTCATGTATATTGGATCTTCTTTAGTAAATTTCATATTTTTGGAATGGTTGATATCAACTCCTCTATTTCTGGTGACATTTTTGGCTGTACAGCTAAGGGTCAAACTTACTGCTATTTTTAGGCCTAGCTAGATTTCTTTTCTTTTTGCTTATCTTCTGCGTCGGTGAGAAGGTGCTCAAATTCTTCTTGTCCACCAAAGGAATAAAAGGAGACTTAACATTAAATTCACATTGAATCTCCTGGTCAGTAGTTGTTGGGGTGAAGTCAAATGTTTTTGTTCTTAAAATTCTTTGGTATCTCTCTTTGTCCTCTTCAGTCTCAATATATTTTGTAATTGGATCCAAGTCTTTATTTAATTCAAGTTTCTGTTTGGAATTCATGGACTTTTTAGGACTACCTGAGTTTTCGACCTCTTTTAGTCTACATTCTACCTATAAATCACAGTAAAACAGATGCCTAATAGAAGCTTCTAATTAGATCATGGGAATTTTGTTCCTCAAAGCATAGTCCGTATTGCTTAAGTATCTCTACTGTCTTACCTCCTCTATAAGTCCTTCGATCAACTTGTAATCAGGGTCGAATTCACTCTCTGAATGTAAATCCAGAGTGTCTTTAATATTAGAATAAATTCTGTCAAACTCTTCAGGATCTGAAGAATCCTTCACTTCGAACTGTGAGAAGATCTAAATTAGCAATAAGTCACTAAGACAAGGATGATTTCATGCTTTATTAGGCTTTTAATCGTAATCTTCACCCACAAATTCCCCCATAACGACCAAATACAAACACTGACCTTGTAACTATTGACGATATCACTGAGCTGGCTTGCATGCTCATTTCCAAACTGAAACAGTGCCGAGTAATTAACCTTAAGGGTCTTATTAACAATAGCCTTCATGCCAATGAGCTTTGAGTTAAGAATCTTCTTCTCAATTCTGATTTTATCCCGATGGTTTCTAAGAACTTCATAACTGTTTTCTTTCTCTTCACATTCCCTAGAATAATGACTGAGGGGGCTTACTTCCTGAGCGACTCATTCTCTTTCTGTAGGCTATTGACAATCTTGTTCTTCTTCTTAAGGTCCTCTGTGAGTTCCTGGATTACATCATGATGCTTTATTTTGTACTCAAGAACTTTTATAACAGAGGTTAGAGTCTCATAGTAGAGAATGATCAGGTTGTCGATTATTTGCCCCTTCTCGGCACATTTTAGCTTTAATTGGTTACGTAGCTCAGCAGAGATGTAGGAGAACAGCAGCATTGCGTTGTCTATTCTCTTAGTGCTGTGAGGTTTTAAAGGTTCAATAAATTGTTTGTAAATCCTTTCAAATCAGCTATTAAACTCTTTCACTAGATATCTCTCTTCTAAGTACAGTTGTAGGCTAGATTTTAGAGAGAGAATTTACGTGTAAGTTTCACCACAGCATGTAAGAGAGTGCTCATTCTCAATAAATTTTTCATAATCTTTACCTCCGTTTAATAGTCTAAACATGTTGAATCCTACAATGCTGTGGACATCTTTGTTAATATAATTAAATTTTTTCACATATGGAAGGATCCAGATGGATCATGTATTTCTTCAGATCATTCAGATCCTGTGGATACTCAAAATCCGCTAAGATCAACTTATGGTCCTAAAATAAATTATTTTGTTGATATACAGCACTCAATCTATCAAATTCTTTCTGAATGAAATGTTTGTTACTGAGGTATGCAGCAAGGAGCCCTTTAGACTTCTTCACTTTAACTGGCTTCTCCCGGATACCCATGGCACTCTTCAGATTTTTGATATCTCGAGGAGACCTGATGGACTTCTCACGAAGGATCTCATCATCATTGAAGGTATCTCCATTGAAAATTGTATTAATTTTAGTTTTGACCACTGGCTTCTGAAATTCAGGTGGATTTTTGGAAAGATGGCCTATTTTCTCCCGAATGAACTGATCCCTAGTGAATTATTTCATAAATTTACTCAATATCCTCGTCATGAAGAGTTGAGCAGGATTTGCTCTTCCTACAAGCAGGAGCTGTAGGAGGTGGATACCCACTGAAATTTTTATGGTGCACAAGATCTCTCTTTATCATATGACTTGTCTTCTGTGCATCTATGAGGTTATCGTTTATATATACTTTTTCATAAAATCTGATTTGATCCGTTGACATTTTTGGGAGTTTTAAGATAATTTTGAATCACTTGGTTGGAAAATTCGTATCTTGGAGTACCTACTTGCACCATTCTATGAGTTTCAGAGGTACACGAGTCTTTCTATACTTTGGTTAGCAAGCTTCCATCAGTTCCCCTTTTCAAGGCAGATGAAAATTTACCTTTGTGAAAGTGCGATATCCTTCCTCCATCTTCCTCTTAATGAGTGGTATCTAAGAAATAATTAATTCGATCTTGTATGGCGACTAAAAACTAGTCGTGAAAGAGTTTTGTAAATTAGAATTTTTATTTTAAATCTCCCAACAAATTATCTTCAAAATTATTTGTGAAACCTTGAAAATTCTTGATAATCAGGACTTCTTGTAAAAATCACTTTCACATCTATCAAGATTGGAGAGTCTGGACTGCCTTTGAGGCTACTTACAGTGGACATTTTGGCTTCCTTCTCAAGACCACTCTTGAGATTAGGAACACTTGTTTTCTACTAATCAGTGTACTAAATTACAGTGAAGATTTTATTTTCTAAAAGTAAACTGCCCTGAATGCTGTCTCCTACATCAATGATTAGACAAAGCTAGACTTGCATGATGGATCATGTAAAATTAAGGGATGAAATAACAAAATTCGGCCTGGATTTACCTATTCGACTTTTTCAACTTGATGTTGCCAATTTCACGGTGATTTAGGTTATCGTTCATATTTGTTAATAATTAAATATTATTCAGCATTGGAACTAGAAATAGGGGTTTTGGGGTTTTGGGGTTTTGGGGTTTTGGGG